GTCTGACGCTGTCACATTTTTCATCGCGTATTAATTTTCGTGATTTACACATATATCATATATACAGATATAATATTACATATATATAATATATATATAATATTATATTATATTATATTATACACCAATTTATCTCGTTAGCCATTACATGAAAATTGATTTCTTGAAACGACCGAATATTTTAATTTAATAAATTGTTGCCAAAAAGAAGTTCAAAATATGAGTAGTTAGATTGTGATAACCAAACCATACATCAGATAATGACGGAACGACGACGTTTCGGTCCGTCCTACCATCTGATAACGGTCCGTCGTGAACCGTTATCAAGTCGGGTGTTGAGGATAACCAGCACACGACTTACTAATGGTCCAGGACGGACCGAAAAGTCGTCGTTTGTAGGCGAGGAGTCACAATAACGTGGCTGAAGTATGTTGACCAGACCACACACTAGAAATTGAAGGGACGACGACGACGACGACGACGACGTTTCGGTCCGTCCTGGACCATTCTCAAGTCGATTGTCTTGAGGTTCACGTCGTCGCTTCTCCATTTTATTATATATGATTTGGTCATTACATCTTCAGCCCCGTTACTGCGACTCATCATCTCTAGGTTGATTCGTCCTTAGAAATTCCTTGATCTGGGATAATTAGGAGAACAGTGACTCGTGTCTCTTGTAGGAAGTCAAATATTCTCTCAAACACCAAGATCTTTGTCCTTGTCTTGAATTTTGTCTCAGAGCTTGAGACAAGGCTGTGACCGGAGTCTCAGGTTAGCGGTCACTGTTGTCTGACAGATCAAATTGTTGTAATGTGATATAATTCATTGTATATAATATGATATAGGATACTGTCCTTGGTGTATAGATAAAGTGCGACTCTACACAGACATGAAGGATCGTATTGCATTTACCTGTATATTTTTCACGTGTTCAGTGAATGATTTACATAGTTATACGTAATATATACATATACCCACGATATATGTATACATATAATATACATATACATATACATTCTGGCATATATATACATATACGAACGTGATATTCGTATACAAGCCTGTGTAAAATCCAGTGCCAAAGAGCCAATAGAGATCCACACAGTCCTCAGAGGCTCACAGAGCCCCACAGAGGCTCACAGAGCCCCACAGAGGCTCACAGAGCCCCACAGAGCCTCACAGAGCCCCACAGAGCCCCACAGAGGTTCACAGAACCCACATTAAGGTTTGCATTACTAATATTTTCTAAAAAATCACCATTCCCAGTTGTTTTTTCAAGGGATGGAACCTTCATTGTGAAATTACTATACAATTTGCACTCAGTAGTCGATGACAGGATGGCAGGCGGTGGCAGGGTAGCGTAGAGTTGGCAGCAGTTGTGAGGCATTATCTCTGCAGCCTTGCCGGGAGGGAGCCAGAACTATGCAGCTCCTCCAGATAGAAATAGATGTAGTTGATCAGATCTGATGGAAGTTGAGGATGTCGCGTTCTTCTGAGACACGGAATGTGGGATCTAAGTTGATTAACAACTGTGTTGAAGATGACTACTGAAGGGTGAAGGTAAGAGTCAGAGGGGGGGGGGGAGTTGAGGGACCACTGTGTGTACAGATTGATGAAGGTTAAGTCATCCTAGAGATGGCACGGGCATGAATAGCCCGTAAGGTGTGTACAGTTCTGGGGTTCTGTAAATAACATGGGAGCATGTGGTAGAGATGTGAAGGGTCAGGTGAGGAGAGTGATGGGTATAATACCAGGCCCCTCATCTTGCCTCATCTTTTTCACGGGCTCGCCATAGCCCGTGCTACATACGACACTTCGTTCTGAGTAGCTAAATCTAAAACATCATCATCATCTTACCTCATCTCACTCATCAAAACTCATCTTTCCGTTCTGTAAGATGAGTTTTTGGCATCACGTGACTCCTGACTCAGGCTATGTAATCCTTCACATAGGATTACTAAATCCTACATACAACACACATAGGGTACCTGTATATGTGGCCAGGGTACATAGCTGGCTCTTGAAACACTATGTAACCCTTCATATAGTCTAGGGCGGCCCAGGGGCCATAGCATCATATACCTATAGCTCTTGACGGAACTATATAGCCCTTCATATAATATAGGATAGTCGCAAAAAAGTATTATAGAATCATATAGCTGACCTTAAGCAGAATATAACCCCTTCATATAGTCTAGGATAGCTATATAAAATAGACGTTCCTACATATATTTATACAAGATATAAAAATAAATTAATTAGCAAGAATAAGAGAAGAGAGACGGCCATACAGCTGCATGATGGCTTGACCCATACAGCTGCATGATGGCTTGACCCATACAGCTGCATGAAGGCTTGACCCATACAGCTGCATGATGGCTTGACCCATACAGCTGCATGATGGCTTGACCCATACAGCTGCATGAAGGCTTGACCCATACAGCTGCATGAGGGCTTGACCCATACAGCTGCATGGAGGCTTGACCCATACAGCTGCATGAGGGCTTGACCCATACAGCTGTGTGGAGGCTTGACCCATACAGCTGCATGGAGGCTTCACCCATACAGCTGCATGGAGGCTTGACCCATACAGCTGCGTGGAGGCTTGACCCATACAGCTGCGTGGAGGCTTGACCCATACAGCTGCGTGGAGGCTTGACCCATACAGCTGCGTGGAGGCTTGACCCATACAGCTGCATGAAGGCTTGACCCATACAGCTGCATGAAGGCTTGACCCATACAGCTGCATGAAGGCTTGACCCATACAGTTGCATGAAGGCTTGACCCATACAGCTGCATGAAGGCTTGACCCATACAGCTGCATGAAGGCTTGACCCATACAGCTGCATGAAGGCTTGACCCATACAGCTGCATGAAGGCTTGACCCATACAGCTGCATGAAGGCTTGACCCATACAGCTGCATGAAGGCTTGACCCATACAGCTGCATGAAGGCTTGACCCATACAGCTGCATGAAGGCTTGACCCATACAGCTGCATGAAGGCTTGACCCATACAGCTGCATGAAGGCTTGACCCATACAGCTGCATGAAGGCTTGACCCATACAGCTGCATGAAGGCTTGACCCATACAGCTGCATGAAGGCTTGACCCATACAGCTGCATGAAGGCTTGACCCATACAGCTGCATGAAGGCTTGACCCATACAGCTGCATGAAGGCTTGACCCATACAGCTGCATGAAGGCTTGACCCATACAGCTGCATGAAGGCTTGACCCATACAGCTGCATGAAGGCTTGACCCATACAGCTGCATGAAGGCTTGACCCATACAGCTGCATGATGGCTTGACCCATACAGCTGCATGATGGCTTGACCCATACAGCTGCATGATGGCTTGACCCATGCAGCTGCATGATGGCTTGACCCATGCAGCTGCATGATGGCTTGACCCATGCAGCTGCATGATGGCTTGACCCATACAGCTGCATGATGGCTTGACCCATACAGCTGCATGATGGCTTGACCCATACAGCTGCATGATGGCTTGACCCATACAGCTGCATGATGGCTTGACCCATACAGCTGCATGATGGCTTGACCCATACAGCTGCATGATGGCTTGACCCATACAGCTGCATGATGGCTTGACCCATACAGCTGCATGATGGCTTGACCCATACAGCTGCATGATGGCTTGACCCATACAGCTGCATGATGGCTTGACCCATACAGCTGCATGATGGCTTGACCCATACAGCTGCATGATGGCTTGACCCATACAGCTGCATGATGGCTTGACCCATACAGCTGCGTGGAGGCTTGACCCATACAGCTGCGTGGAGGCTTGACCCATACAGCTGCGTGGAGGCTTGACCCATACAGCTGCGTGGAGGCTTGACCCATACAGCTGCGTGGAGGCTTGACCCATACAGCTGCGTGGAGGCTTGACCCATACAGCTGCGTGGAGGCTTGACCCATACAGCTGCGTGGAGGCTTGACCCATACAGCTGCGTGGAGGCTTGACCCATACAGCTGCGTGGAGGCTTGACCCATACAGCTGCGTGGAGGCTTGACCCATACAGCTGCGTGGAGGCTTGACCCATACAGCTGCGTGGAGGCTTGACCCATACAGCTGCGTGGAGGCTTGACCCATACAGCTGCGTGGAGGCTTGACCCATACAGCTGCGTGGAGGCTTGACCCATACAGCTGCGTGGAGGCTTGACCCATACAGCTGCGTGGAGGCTTGACCCATACAGCTGCGTGGAGGCTTGACCCATACAGCTGCGTGGAGGCTTGACCCATACAGCTGCGTGGAGGCTTGACCCATACAGCTGCGTGGTGGCTTGACCCATACAGCTGCGTGGTGGCTTGACCCATACAGCTGCGTGCGGGGCTTGACCCATACAGCTGCGTGGGGGCTTGACCCATACAGCTGCGTGGGGGCTTGACCCATACAGCTGCGTGGGGGCTTGACCCATACAGCTGCGTGGGGGCTTGACCCATACAGCTGCGTGGGGGCTTGACCCATACAGCTGCGTGGGGGCTTGACCCATACAGCTGCGTGGGGGCTTGACCCATACAGCTGCGTGGAGGCTTGACCCATACAGCTGCGTGGAGGCTTGACCCATACAGCTGCGTGGAGGCTTGACCCATACAGCTGCGTGGAGGCTTGACCCATACAGCTGCGTGAAGGCTTGACCCATACAGCTTACGAAACTGTGAGTGGTCGTCGCAGCGTGAGTACACTCACTTCTCCACGAGTGTAGCCGGGTAATGGAAGGATGGATGTAACGGTCTCGCAGGCTTCTCTCACCAGCCACACTGCGCCTGGCAGAGGCGTAGTAGGCTTCGTCCTCTACCCACCTTTCTCCCAACACTTGAGCGGTACTTATAACTCTTGAGGGGTACATATAACCCTTGAGCAGTACATATAACCCTTGAGCGGTACATATAATCTCCTAAATCAATATAATCGACATATAATCGTCTCAATAAGGAGGAATGATAAATAAAGATCCAATTAAAACTGTACTTTCATTAAGGTAATCTACAGATCTTACATCTACTGTACATACACACACACACATGCACACACACATGTATACACACATGTATACACACACATACAACAGCTCTCTGCTGGTTACCAACATTGTCATGGGAGATGATTGACACTGGTCACCAGAGGACACGTGCGTGACACATACTTGACACATGCTCGACACACAGTCAGTAGCCACCCAAAATATGAACACTCCATATGTGACGCTCATTATAATCAAAAGACTCCATACTTGACACAGGGACTCCATACTTGACACAGGGACTCCATACTTGACACAGGGACTCCATACTTGACACAGGGACTCTAAGCTTGATACAGGGACTGACCATCCTCAAGAGATAAGAATGATCGGATCATTCTCACTGGACGAGCATTGGCTGCTAATGGTGGTCCTTATTAAATCCCCTGGTGTCCCATACAGCCATTTGTGCCCCTTAGAGCCTGTGACACCCCTTAGAGCCTGTGGCACCCCCTTAGGGTCTGTGGGACTTAGCGACTTGTAGCCGATGGCGCCTCTTGGAGCGGCGACTTAGAAATTATTTTAGAATTGTGCAAAATGGAGGTGTTCTTTGAAGATGGTGCTCGGAGGTGCAGATGATGCTGTATGGAGGCTGGGATTAAATCCTCGAGTTAATCTTATTGATGATCCGAGTTTCCTGGCACTCAGAGACGTCTCCTGGAACTCAGAGTCTCCTGGAACTCAGTGACATTTCCTGGAACTCAAAGACGTCTCCGAGGACTCAGATTTACCGAATATGATACTGAAGTTGAGTGTTGGAGATCTGTGTGGTTGGTGACGTTGGAGGATACTTGAGTACATCTGTGCTCTGACCTGTGCGGGGAATCAATGTTCGCTCCGCCGGCAGCTTCCAGAATCTCCATAAACAGTGAGAACTTCCAGTATCTCCATCAGCAGTGACTGTTTCCAGGACCTCCATCAAAATAGATAAAGTGTCTATACTGGCGGTGACAGCTTCCAGTATCACAAGACTTGGAATCATTATCTGCATTATATCATGAATCGTGTTATGACTCGTGACGTAGCGTGCAGTGTTGCAGCGCTCAGTGTTGCAGCGTGACCTGCTGTGTTGCGTCAGCAGTAATGTAGCGTGACCAGGGGCTGGAGGTCACGGCTCACCAGCAGACGCCCTCCGCCCTCAGGGAGGTCGGTCGTGCCAGCGACAACACTCTGGTCAGTTCTTGCGTCGCCTCCGCCGCGCTTCTGGAGGCGGAGGAGAGCGTCGTGGCCTCTGCGACGGACGTCGGAGGCACGAATGGTGAGGTGGAGGATGTCAGGGAGGTCGTAGGTGAGGTCAGGGACGCCAGGGATGTCAGGGAGGCCCGCAAGGGGTTAGTGGCCTGGGCTAGGAGAGAGGATGTGGGCAGGGATGGCGGAGGGAAGGGACAGACGGGTAGAAAAGGCAATAATCCAGGAAACTGCGCATGGTGGAGTCCTAGAGGCAGGAGCGGAGGGGCGTGACATTCCAGGCCCGGGATTCTGTCGCCTGGAAGGAGGTAGTCTGGAAGTCTGTGTGCTGGAGAGGTGATGGTGTTGTCTGTGCGGGTGAGCGCCGCCATGGGCGCCAGACACCGCAGAGACTGCGAGAACGATCCCAAACTGGAACCAAGCGGCGGCAGCGGGCCTTCCAGCCCTCGCTCGCGGATCATCTTCTTCGTCTTATAGCGGTGGTTCTGGAACCAGATTTTGATCTGGGTGGGAGTGAGGTCCAGGAGGGAGGCCAGGTGCTCCCGCTCCGGCGCCGACAGGTAGCGCTGCTGGCGGAACCGTCGCTCCAGCTCGTACGTCTGCGCTTTGCTGAAGAGGATCCGCCGCTTCCTCTTGCGACCTGAGGCTTCCATGTCTTCTTCGGCGCAGTCGTCGACTTCGAGAGCTTCCATGTCTTCGTCGGGAGGGGTGAGGACGGCTGCGGCCTGCTCAGTGGAGTCTGCGGCGGCTTGCACAGCGCTCTGCGGCCCTGCGTCAGGGCTGGCGGGCACCTCGGGGGCAGAGTCATCGTCAACAGCATCTGCCGGAGGGAGAAAGAGAACACCTGGTTAGTCAGCCTCAACACAGTCGTTGTGCCGAATCATTTAACCTAATTTAGAGAAGCGCATAATCATCGCCCTATTGATGATAAGTCATCATATATGCACTCAGGCAGGCGCCATTGTCTCCCACGCTCCAAGTGTAAACAATTCATTCCATAATACACATCCCTAATAGCCCCGCTGGCTTCCCACTCTCACTATCAACAATAATGACGATTTAATCGTAAACAAAAAATATGAATATTAACGATTTGCGGCGTAAATTTTCGAGTCATGGTTGGGCCCGAGGAGTACAAAGAGGAGCCATCTGGCGGTGGGTGTGGCAGGTGGTGCCAGGGGCTGGCAGCCACCAGGTGGTGACGCCACCGCTGCTTTGGCGCCAAGGAGCGCTCTCAGCTCCGCCTGTAATTATTTTTGTATTTTTTCAGCTAAGAAAATGTTGCCTAAAATGACCAAAACACTTTAGCGTCACTGTTTAAATATGTAAATAAATAAATAAATATATAAATATATATAAATATATATATATATATATATATATATATATATATATATATATATATATATATATATATATATATATATATATATATATATATATATATATATATATATATATATATATATATATGTCGTACCTAGTAGCCAGAACGCACTTCTCAGCCTACTATGCAAGGCCCGATTTGCCTAATAAGCCAAGTTTTCATGAATTAATTGTTTTTCGACTACCTAACCTACCTAACCTAACCTAGCCTAACTTTTTCGGCTACCTAACCTAACCTAACCTATAAAGATAGGTTAGGTTAGGTTAGGTAGGGTTGGTTAGGTTCGGTCAAATATCTACGTTAATTTTAACTCCAATAAAGAAAAATTGACCTCATACATAATGAAAAGGGTAGATTTATCATTTCATAAGAAAAAAATTAGAGAATATATATTAATTCAGGAAAACTTGGCTTATTAGGCAAATCGGGCCTTGAATAGTAGGCCAAAAAGTGCGTTCTGGCTACTAGGTACGACATATATATATATATATATATATATATACGGATTATGTCTTTCATTATTCGTTCTTTTTAATGTTCACTGTGCATGGTTGATTTGTAATACGAACATCCTTCCAGTAATCCGTAAAGGAGTAAAAAGTACAATTCCTAACCAAAACATAGACTTAATCAAATACTATAAAACCAAGAAGACTACCGACCTCCTTATTAAAACCAGCCTGAAGCCGACAGAGAACCCTTTACAGCAGTCAAGCGTTGTATACATGTACACTTGCCCCCACGAAGGATGTAACCTTCAATCTAAGTACATAGGTATGACGTCGACCAAGCTGACGAGGCTTTTGACATGCCATCTTCAATCCGGTGTCCCCGCAAAAAATCACATGAGACAAGCCCATGACATCACCCTAACAAGAGAAATGTTGAATAAAAACTCTTGTATAATAGACAAAGCCCAAGATGTAAGATGATTACAAATTCTTGAGGCAATTCACATAAGAATAGAACAACCCGCCATGAACACCCAAACTACGGAACTATTCACTCTACCCACCATGAGAGTAAGGACACGACGGGAAGGTGAAGATGCCAACATAGAAGACACTGCCCAACATGCCACGTCCACTACACCTGATTAATCTTTGTGGATCGAACATTTATGGCCTTTTTCTTTAAAGGCCTATAACACTTTAGGTTCGAAACTTTGTATAGGGTAATTTATATAATATATATATATATATATATATATATATATATATATATAGTATTATATATATATATATATGTCGTACCTAGTAGCCAGAACGCACTTCTCAGCCAACTATGCAAGGCCCGATTTGCCTAATAAGCCAAGTTTTCATGAATTAATGTTTTTTCGACAACCTAACCTAACTTTTTCAGCTACCTAACCTATAAAGATAGGTTAGGTTAGGTTAGGTAGGGTTGGTTAGGTTCGGTCATATATCAACGTTAATTTTAACTCAAATAAAAAAATTGACCTCATACATAATGAAATGGGTAGCTTTATCATTTCATAAGAAAAAAATTAGAGAAAATATAGTAATTCAGGAAAACTTGGCTTATTAGGCAAATCGGGCCTTGCATAGTAGGCTGAGAAGTGCGTTCTGGCTACTAGGTACGACATATATGTATATATATATGTCTAATATATATGTATATTTATATATATATATAATATAGTGATGGACGTTGTGAAGGTCTCCGAAGTTCATCAACTGTTTATTAACTTTAAACTAAGCTGCCGTGAGTACTCCAAGCTGCACACGGGCTTAATCCTGGGTGAATGTGTCAGTGATTGACGAGTGGTGGTGCATCAGGAGAGGAGCATCCTGCCACAGCATCCTGCCACAGCATCCTGCCACAGCAGCCTCCCACAGCATCCTCCCACAGCATCCTGCCACAGCATCCTGCCACAGCAGTCTGCCACAGCATCCTGCCACAGCATCCTGCCACAGCAGTCTGCCACAGCATCCTGCCACAGCATCCTGCCACAGCATCCTGCCACAGCATCTTCCCACAGCATCCTGCCACAGCATCCTCCCACAGCATCCTGCCACAGCATCCTGCCACAGCATCCTGTCACAGCATCTTCCCACAGCATCCTGCCACAGCATCCTCCCACAGCAGCCTCCTACAGCATCTTGTCACAGCATCTTCCCACAGCATCCTGCCATAGCATCCTCCCACAGCAGCCTCCTACAGCATCTTGTCACAGCATCTTCCCACAGCATCCTGCCACAGCATCCTCCCACAGCAACGCAAGTTTTCCTACGTTATAAACCACACCTGCTCCTATATGTGTCCTGCAACGACACATGTGTATCCGTTCCAACACCTGATATATGAGGTTCTCGCTTCCCGGGCGTGACAGAAGCGATTGGGCACGTTTCATCTCACCTAATGCCTCTGTTCACCTAGCAGTAAATAGGTACCCGGGGGTTAGGCAACTGTTGTGGGGGTTGCATCCTGTGGGGGGGTCAGTTGTCGACTTTTTTTTAGGGGGGGAGAAGCGTCGATATGAGCCTAAAGCACATATATATACACACACACACACACACAGGCTGCCTGTCCCGGACCACGGAATAAAATTAGTCGCTGAGTTGTATAAGTCATGTTTTGAGTGTTCATACAGCAGCGATGTATTTAGTGCCTCCGTTAGATAAGATGTCTTGATAGACCTCAGCGTTAGATAAGACGTCTTGGTACACCTCAGCGTTAGATAAGACGTCTTGATAGACCTCAGCGTTAGATAAGGCGTCTTGATAGACCTCAGCGTTAGTTAAGACGTCTTGGAAGACCTCAGCGTTAGATAAGACGTTTTGGAAGACCTCAGCGTTAGATAAGACGTCTTGGAAGACCTCTGCGTTAGATAAGACGTCTTGGAAGACCTCAGCGTTAGATAAGACGTCTTGGTAGACCTCAGCGTTAGATAAGACGTCTTGGAAGACCTCAGCGTTAGATAAGACGTTTTGGAAGACATCAGCGTTAGATAAGACGTCTTGGAAGACCTCAGCGTTAGATAAGACGTCTTGGAAGACCTCAGCGTTAGATAAGACGTCTTGGAAGACCTCAGCGCGGGCCGGAAACTTGTCGTCGTCGCCCCCGTAGATAAATTAGTTTTATAAGATTCGTTAATGATTGATTAATCATTTTAATAAGATTTTAATTAATGAGAATAATTTTTAATAAGATTCATCACGCCGTGTTCTGTCTCTGGAGTAAACTTGGTTGGTGACCACGTACGCACTATACGCCAACCTCAGGGATTACATCTCTTGCAGTTAATGATTGTTAAAGATTGTTAACAACCTAAGATTGTTATACGATTTGGCTGGGTCGTATTGCGGGGAATATTAGGATTATGGACCTGCCGGAAGCGCTACGTAAACCGCTGTACAGGAATGTAAGGACTCTTGTATACATAGATAAATACAAGTAAATGAATGAAGCTGTCTGCCCACACTGCCCTTGGGATACCTGATCAACCAGGCTGTGACTCATACGTCAGGCTGCGTGCAGCCGCGTCTAACAGCCTGGTTGATCAGTCCAGCAACCAGGAGGCCTGGTCGACGACCGGGCCGCGGGGACACTAAGCCCCGGAAGCACCTCTAGGTAGGGTGCTGTTGGTTGGGTAACGAGCGGGGTGGTGGTTGGGGCATGACCAGAGGCCAGTTACGTGGTGGTGGAGGGAACTACTCACCAGCCTCCATGGTGGAGGGAACTACTCACCAGCCTCCATCTCATAACAAACATTAAATGAACTGAACCTCACAAGGGAATCAGAGAAGACATGACCACCATATACAAGATACCAAGGTGTGACGACAAGACAGACAGAGGCATAGAAACGCCCACAATGAGGGGCATAAACATCCCAATGGGTCCATGAGACATAAAAGCCATTGTTCTCCCTGGTAAGTGCCGGGGGGGAGGGCCAATCACAGGTGAGATGGCACCCAAGGGAGCCCCAAGAGTTAACGCTCACCCGTCGACTGAAGAGTGAGAGCCGTGGGCCAAGAGCTGGGACTCAACCAACCGGCTAGCTTTCACAGTTAGGTGTAGACACACACGCCGCCCTCAGAACCAATATAAACCAATCATCAGGACCCATTAAACCAGCCGGATACCTGTAAACTGTGGCTTACACGAGGCCCCTCTCCCTCACTCCCTCTCTCTCTCCCTCTCTCCCTCTCTCCCTCACTCCCTCTCTCTCTCCCTCTCTCTCCCTCTCTCCCTCCCTACTTCCCTACTTCCCTCTCTCTCTCTCACTCGAACCTCGCCATTTGAAATGCAAATTTTTCCCAGTGAACGAGCAGACCAGGCTCCTCCCTCCCCCCCCCCTCCCCCCACCCTCCCTCTCTCTCTCTCTCTCTCTCTCTCTCTCTCTCTCTCTCTCTCTCTCTCTCTCTCTCTCTCTCTCTCTCTCTCTCTCTCTCAGCGCCCCTTACTCC